AGGGGTTTGGTTTGCAAATAGTTCCATGCGTCTTGCTCAAAGTTTAAAGTTTGTGAACTTTGCAGTAAACCCCCTTGAAATCTATAGGGGGCAAATCCTGGTAATCAATTCTGGCCACTTGTAGGGCTAATAAGCAAGTGATTGTCGAACAAAAGGCATGAGAAACTGGGCACTGCCATAGGGAACATGTACCAATGCCAAAATGAAAAAATAAATAAAAAATATCTGTCCCTACACAGAATTGTCAGTTCTTCCTAACAGCTCCAAAACTCTTTCACAATATGGCTGCTGTGAGCCCTCCCCCTTTTACAGAAAGTTATCCATTCCTTAGGCTGTTCTTATTTTTGGCACCGAACCTCCAATGTTTTCAGCCAAAAGTTTGATCATTTGTGAATTTTGTGTGTCCCGGGGATTCGTCGCGAACCCCTGGCAGAGGCGATCTTGAATCTCATCCCTTAATGTTGAGGTGCCCACTAATGTTTGTCCAAATAGAGTAATTAAAATGTAACAAGTCTCGATATAGTATTATAAGCAGTTCGCTGTCATAAAACAAGTGTTACCCAATAAAAGTTTTATATCGGAAGAACATAGTTTGACAAACAGACCTATAGAATATGGTTTGAGGTATTAAACCTTTCAGATGTCCAGGCACACATGATTTAACTACATCTGTGCTGGACTGCAGATGTACACGGCATGCAGAATTATAGGTTGTAAGACCCTGTAACTCATGACAGTCTCTTCAAACCTTTTCCTGACGCTGAGAGACTTTGATCTGGGAACATGAAAGGGATACGATCCACATGGGCACCTGTAAGGATTTAGTTCCATGTGTGTTAAAAGGGCTGACCAATTGTAGGCAACTTTGACTTTCTTTTTAATGTAGAACTATGTCCTCCCTTCAAAAAAAGTGCTGCAGCACTTAAATATAAATGCATCTGCTCTTTTCTCTTAGTCCAATGTGTATGGAGGGAGAACCTTGGCATCTTTGCCTTGACCTGCTTCCAGCCCAGAAGTTTATGGTCGTTTCTTGATTCTTTACTAAACTTCCTAACAATCAGGAGGCTCCATGCCAGGACATAAGAACATTATTATATAAAGGAATTTGTTGTATTGGTCAAATATGTTTGCATTTTCTTCTGAATATTCCACATTCTCTCTAATGCAGAAGAACAAGGACTGGCCAACTGCTTGTGTGAAAATGTTAAAGAGGCAGTCCATCCAAATGTGATACTTCTATTTTAGATACAGTTCAGTGGGCTAAATTACCAGCTGGTTCCTTACTTTTTTTTTTGGGCACAAGACGTGTGCAGACCTGGAAACTCAGCACAGGTTTGGTGGGAAGCCTTCATAATGGGCACAGGATGTCTACAGACCTGGAAACTCAGCACAGGGATAGTAGAAGCCACTCATAATGGGCATAGGAGGTGTGTAGACCTGCAAACTCAGCACAGCGATAGTAGGAGCCCCTCATAATGGGCACAGGAGTTGTACATACCCAGTAACTCAGCATGGGGTGGTGGGAACCCCACATAATGGGAACAGCAGGTTTCCAGACCTGGGATCTCAGCACAGAGATGGTGGGAGCCCCTCATAATGGGCACATGTGGTGTCCAGACCGAAGAATTCATCACAGGAATGGTGGTAGCCACTCATAATTGGCACAGCAGGTGTAATGACCCAGGAACGCAGCACAGGGATGTCACCAATAGAGTATCTGAGAGATAGAAGAGACTATCGGGAGGTTTAACTATTTAAAGCCTACCAAAACTACTTCTTTGTATTGATATGGATTAACCACCCCCTACAGAAACAAAAATAACCTCCCCACAAAAACTGTTGTTGTAGCTTCTTAAACATCGATAGCTGTTGGTCCTGTCACCTAGTGATAGGACCAATCGTAATAAAACTACGATATGGGGGGAACTCAGAAAAAAAAATACTGTTTTGCTGCTGGTGATGGACTGCATCATATACCATATGTCATTTTATATTCCATATTAAGATGCTTCTGAGTTGCTTTGCCTTTTGAGTGTCTACTCTGCCTTTTTAAATACATGATTGTAATCAGCAGTTTCATCCAAGTTCTTCTAAGGAAGTTCTTCCAATAGACACATTTAGGGAGTTAAGGTTTTATGAATATCAACATATGACACAGTGGTTTTAACTTGTAGAAGAAGCTGGGGTCACTGTGAGCCTTACGGAGCTGCCAGCTGGCCATGGAGGAGAGGATTAAATGTGACCTCTATGGGACTAACCGATCAGTCAGTTCTGCAAGGATCCAAAACCAAGAAATAATTGTATTGCATTCCTCATGTGTTCTGTCATTCCAAGAGAGGCTTAAAGAAAAGCTGTGTCAATTACCCAATTGTTTGAAGGGAATCATGAGTGACACAATTAGGGATTGTTTTTGAATGATATTTATATTTATTTCAATGAAGCATGATAAAAGTATACCTTTGAACTTGTAACTGTTAGTTGAATGAAAGCTTGCACCTATAAAAATAAGGTCCGCTGTTTATATTTGCCCCTCGTTCATTGCATAATCGCTATAATGAAGTTTAAGAAAATAAACTTTCCCCCTGTGGCACCTAGGCAAGGGTGCTATCATCTCTCTCCCAGGCAAGATTTGGGTGATTTTGCAGAAAAGATTCTCCTAGCACTGCAGTGTCTTCTCACAAGTTCTGGAGAACTCAGCATTCCCTTGACGGAGGATGACAGTGTCACCACTAGCAGCATAGAAGCCAAGGAAAGGTGAGTATAATATTTTTTTTTCTTCCCCTAGGGGTAAAGGTGAGGGGGCAAAAATAAACAGCCGACCTTGCACATAGTGAAGGGTCAGCTTTAAAGTCCATTTACACCTTTGTAAGTGATTAGCATTTATTGTGGTAATGTAGAGGTGCAGTGATGATGTATATGTGTCCACATTTTCATAACTCACATTGCAGGTTTTCTTCATTTTTTTAATGAAGTTTTCCTAGGCCTGAAGCCTAGAAATAATGCCAGGGTCAGATGTAAAGTAGACACTAAACAGCTCTCCCCCACCCTTGTGTAACACGATCAGTAAACAGCAGCTCTGCCTTTGCACACAATACACTGTCTGGGGAAGGGGGGGGGGGTTGCCACTATGTGGTGGGGGAAAGGCCACTTGTACTATACATAAATTACTTGCAAAGCACAATTGCAGCCATTTCCATATGGAGATGAAGAGGAAAGCTAACTAACTAAAAAATGTAAGTTTTAGTGTTGGTATAAAGCAACTGGATATGCCTACTTCATGTTCACTTGGTGTACATTGCTGGCATATGTTTTTTTGAAATACCTCAGCAAAGGTGGAAATGGGCTCACAATCAATGAGTTAAAGTGCATGTACAGCCTAAAAGTTTTGTTTTATAGTTTTGATGAGAGTACAGAAAGCTTAAAATCCCTGTTCCATTTATTTGGTGTTGTGTCCTCACTGGGGAGATTCACCCTCTCTATGTGTCTTAGTGACCACTGTCACCGGGACAAAAAGTGATGGGAAAGCCAACATTTTACAGTTGTCACCAGAACAGGAGATGAAGGGAAATCTTCTGAAAGGGACACCTGTTCCAGTGACAATTGTCTAGTGGCTCACTTAGACAAGCCCATGTGCTAAAATAATCGGTTTTAGCATGCTGGCTGGTGTCCCGCATCCTGGCCATGGGAGGTGGTGCCTTGCATTGGTAAAACGCAAGCCACTGTTTACCTTTTTTTTTAAAACTGTACTGAAATGTCAAATTGGCATTTCATTAATTTGTAGACACTGCTGGAGTCAGACAAGCTCTTTTATGTGCCTGTAGTGTGAACAGGGCACATAGAAGAGCTTTGTTTTTGATGTGCCCTTGCAGTGACTGGTGTTGATCAGGTATAGACAATGACAGTCATTGCACAAATGTGTCAATGAGTCCTACAAGAGGAATTCTACTTATTAGGTAGAGATTTCCTCTTATTTCCTGTTGCATCACTGGGATAGGAATATCCCTAATGGAAAAAAAGACAGCACAAAAAAGACATTTTAGAACTCATGAGGACATAAAAAAACAGAGATGCCAGTGCTGACTTTTTAACCTTGTTCACTGCGCGTCGTGTTTGTGTGCGTTTGATGTCCGTCAGTCCATTTATTTCAATGGGCTGCCCTTGCGCGACAGACATAGCAAAGTAGCTCATGCAACATTTTCAGCTGTGAGAGTCATACATTTTTTGACAAATTTGTTAACAAGTAATGGCACTGCAATCACGTCACACGTTTTTAGTGCATTGCGTGAACATACACTATTGTGCAGCATGTGATATCATGTTTGTCTGACGTTGAATAAAGACAGAGCGATGAAGCGGACCTCTGGTGCGCTGGTGACTAATTCCTACAAACTTTGGCGCCCATTCACGCAATGCCAAAGTGTGAACACAGCCTTAAAGAGTTTAAAGGTACAGATTCCAGGCCTGTCATTCTGATCCCTGGCTCCACTAATTAGTGTCCAACCTGTAACAAGCATGCAGTCAGTAAAGTCTAGGAAAGTCTTAACTTCTGTCCTGCATGTTTTAGTCAGTGACTCTCTAGGATTGGAGCCAGGATCAAGATGACACCCATGATGCAAACAAGTCAGACATGCCTCTCCCATATACTTATCCTCACAAGTTTCCTTTTAGAACGCTTTGATTTCCAGCTTATTATTTGCTCATCCAAGAGAAAACAGTGAATTGTTAACCAAGCCTCCCTCACCGACAGAGTGACGTCACCAGAAAAATCAATATGTGAAAGTGGAACTTTTTCTGCACAATTTTGCTGTAAATCTTTTTACACTTCTGTATTACCGGTTTATGATAATCGTTTGAAAATAGTACATATAAAGTTTTCCTTCAAGAATTATAACATAAAATTGTATACGGCAACCTTTAAATAAGTATAATAAAGATTTTTTGCATAATTTTGATTTCAATTTTTTTTAAAAGCCAGCTTGATTTTAAAAATAAATCCATATTTGCCACCTGCTGGTGAAATTGGCTTCCACATAGTTGTAGAAGAGCAGTACTAGTAGGCAGGGTAGAAGGTACATGGTCCCTGTGCGGTGGTATTCAGAAGGACCTGTTCTCCTGGGTACAGCTGCTGTTCCTCTCAGCAGTTGCTTCTGTGCTCTCTGAAGCCTCTTGTACATTGACTTATGTCTGGCTGATTTTTTTTAGTTTCCACTCTTACACATCTGGAAAGAGTCAGGAATGTGGCACGTGAGAGCTCGACCGCTTGAAGAACCCAAACATGATTTCATTCTCTGCATCGCTTCGTCTGCGCTGTAATCGGTCCTGTGGGCCTGTATGGTATCACCTGACATGGAAGTTTTAAAAAATCCAGGGTCACAGCTTACACGGTTTTACAGGAAAGGTCAATTGATCCACAAATAATTCCTTTTTCTTAAAAAAGATTAGATGACTGAAGTAGACAAAACTTCATCTTATTCACTCAGCTCAGTGAATATTGACTTTGCTAGGTGGACAGTCTCTATGTCTGTAGCTGTTAACCTCAAAGTGATGGTACACCTCTCCTATGTGGACACTGACAGCAGTGAAATCTTTGTGTTGTACTGTTAGAACCTTACTCAGGTTTTTCTGCCATCTGTGATTTCCTGTCCTGGTGACCCCGCCCCCCTCATTTCTTCTCTTAGTGGGATAATAAAAAAGGACAGAAAAATTGCCAGAGTGCGGTCACAGATTGTGATAGAAAAACATTTCCAATATTACATCCTCTCTGGAACAAAAAGGAAACGTATAGTGTATTTTCAATGAGCACCTATTTTAAAGCTGAACTCTTCCTTTCTTCTTGTAGTCTTCTTATCCAGCTTGCACAGTTGTACCGGCTCCTCTCCTGTACTGGAATTGCTTACGCTGATCTTTCTGCACACTGTGAGCTTCTCATAATGTGCATTAGAAGCTGCAGCAAGTCAGATACAGCCAGCCTCATTTCCTGCCTGATGTCCACTGTCTTCTAGTTCTTTCCTCCCCATCCTGACCTGCCCCTTTCAGCTATTGGATTTCACTTCATGGAGGCATTAGCACCACATGAAGGCATCACCTAGAGCAGTCTGCATGCAGATGCAGTATGCCTAGAAACACTCACTCCTCCAGACTGACATCCAGCTATCAAGGCATTATGATCTTTGCCTAGCTCTCCTCAAAAGCCAGCCCACTACTTGTATCAGGGCTGTTGAAAGGAGTAATGAGACAGTATGCTATGATATTTTCAGGAAGCTATGTACAACACCCCGCTGTCCCCTTCCATTACCCATGATCTGCCTACATTGTATAAAGAAGTATAGAGATCTAGGAATGATGTCACTGGGTCTAAAATTTGGATTTTTACATACTCATTTTTACAAATTCTTTTTTTATTGTGGGATAATAGATATTTGTAGATGAGCCAATAGAAAAGCAATGATTTGACATCCCTTGTTAAAGTTTGCCTGTGCCCACAGTGTTCATAATACAGTATTTTGATATTCTGTGCAAGAAGTAAAAGCACTATAAAACAAGTCATTTTTCACCTCTGTAGCTATAGGCAATGTGGAGATATCCATCTTCAATATTCAGAACTAAGGCACCAAACTTCCAGCTTTTTGCCTTTACTTTCTATTGCAGCAGAATCTTGGCAGCCTGCCAATCTTCTAACACAAACACACAGCAGCAGGTGTTATAAACCAGTTACCAAGTCACACCATATCCAGTGCGTTCTGGCACGGTCCAAGCCCAGAATGCACTGGATCGCATCAATCAGGCCGCCCTGCGTTCTGGGGTGGCAAGGGGCGTAGCGCTGCCCTTCATGTCAAAGGCACCTCTGGCACTCCCCCCTGCAGTGCAATCGCCCGCACCGGAATGCGAGGTACAGGAATGCCCTCCATTCTGCTGCAGTGCGATCGGAAAAAATAATGCTGCAGGTACTATTTTTTTCAGATCACACAGCACTGGAACATAGGACATTACTGTACCTTGTGTTCTGGTGCGGGGCAAACGCACTGAGGGCGTGAGGGCGGTGGTGTGTTTCTGCGCGTGTTTATTTACATGAATGGCACCACCACGCCCTCCCTGCCCTAGAATGCAGCCCGGCTTGATTTCTGCAATCCATTGCATTCCAGCCACAAATCGTGCTGGAACGCACTGGATATGTTGTGACTGGGCCCTTAGACTTTAGGCAGGGTTCACATTAATGCTTTGTGGTAACCGATAAAAGAGAACTATGGCCAAACCTTTTTTGGCCGTAGTTCTCTTTAGGATCACAGGAGGGCACATACAAATGTCCTCCTGTGACACAAAACTCAGCATATAGCGGGCTATTGCTGGAATTGTCTGAATCCATCCCTCCGCCTAATTGACAGCTGGTTCTGCCTCTCTAGGGGTGAACCTGGCTTTTGAGTCTTTGTTGTGGTCTTTGAGGAACTTTGGGAATGAATTACTGTACAGTGCAAGTAGCTACAGAGGTCAGTGACTGTTTGTTTTAAAGCCTTACTGCTTGTTAAGCTTATGAAAATACTTTATCAATGTCCATAGTCTGGGCAAAGGTACATTTAGTTAAAGGACAAGTTAGGATTTCATAAGCTCCCTGGCAACTGAGCAAGGTATTTACTAGAATTGGACTATTAGTATTTCAGCCCTTTTGTTGCTATGTATTTATCTGTTCCAGAAAGGCTGGTAATAAGAAAGCAGTGCACAAGGCAATTTTGTATGTATTACCTGTCAGATAGAGCACTGAATGTAATTTCTGATTGGACATTATGGGTGAGTGCACCGCTGTCAGCCTTATTATATAAGCTTGGCTGTTTCCAAGGCATAAAACACAATTCACTGTATTTTATTTTGAATTGGACAGAAGAAAGGTTTGAAACGAGCTTAGAGAATGCAGGAAATTCTTCCCATAACTTCAGTGCCTAAGACGTTCTCTTTCCCGGAAAGTTTTGCTGGTTTATCTGGCTGTTGTGTGGAGCCGCTGCTTCTTCGGAATTCCAAAAACTGGAGGCTGAGTATCTGTAGGCTGCTTTCCATCAGCTCCTGATGACCCCCTGCTCAGTGCTCCCTGCAGTCGTCTTGTCACTTTGCCATGAGATAGGCTTCAAAGAGGTGCATTGTGGGATGGAGGAGAGACATAACATAAGCAGCACAAGAATGTTTTCTGCTGAGGGAAGCAGAATGTCTTCTTACAGAACATGGATGTGGAATGTCCTGTCCAGCTGAACACCCAGCGTCCTCTTCAGACTGGAAGAAGACACTGTGCAGAAGGTACTTGTCAAGCCAAGATTCACACTAATAATTTCTGCCTTTCCCTCCATTGTTTTAAAGTGAACCTGTCACAAAAAAGGGCAGTTCAAACCAAGCATGTAACGAAGTGATGAATTGAATTAGCATAGAATACCGAATGTCCAATGATGAGTAGATCCTAAAATATAGGCAGCTGAAGTTATATGCAAATATTGCACTTTTCCTGTGAAAGCTGAAGTTGGTCATTCGCTCTTTCTCCCAGGGCCCATTATTGGTCTCTTCAAGTTATTACCGAGGCTTAGTAGGTGGGAAAGGTAGGCCAAGCACAGCTTTTAGAGGGAGGCTATGTTTGTAAGTTTTATTTAGGCTATTGCAATGCTTTTGCAAGTTCCTGTTCAGTGACCCATGCCTTATTCCAAAGCTCACAAGATGCTGTCTGGTGGACCATTCATCAAAAAAGGCATTCTTTCCCCTCCATGCACTCAAATTCCCTGTCTCACTACTTAACGCTACTAGGAGTTGTGTTGTAAGAGAGCCATCCTCAGTACCTTGGGTCAGCTCCAAAACTAGGGGGGTGGGGGATGTGCCCCGGTTGCCGCCTCAGCAGGGGCGCCGCCGGCAGTACAAATAAAAAAAATTTCAGCAGGGAAAAATGTAAATTAATACTTGTCCCAGGTGGTCAGCACCCCTGTCCATCCATCCATCCACCGGCCACTCTGCAGGCACTGCCAGGGCACCTGTCACCTGAGGGCGCCGGGGAAGGGTGGCCTCGGAGCACGGTCAGTGTCTCTCAGCAGGAGTGATTTTTTTCATACGATGGGAGCGGGAGGATCCAAGGAGGCAAATGGCAGCAGCACAGAACTGCAGGGATCAGGAGCCCTCCTGCAGTCTCACAATGCTTCTATATTTCCACATACATATATTTATATGTATGTGAATATATTATATATACTGTATGTATATATATATATACTTAAAGGATGCACAGACACTCCCTTTGAAAAAGCTGGGGAGTCCAGAAAAACATCATGGGGTCTATTCACTTAGCTGCTGAAGGATCTAGCTGTAGCTTCGGCTCATCCTTCTGCTAGCTTCGGCCCCAAGACCCCGTCGGTCCAGTAGAAGCGAAGGGCTGCTGTGCGGGCTATTCACTATAGCCCATACAGCTCCCGAAGTCGGCCAAGCGGCTCAGCGAGCCGAAGGCATATGGTGAAGGCCATTGGCCGGCCGACAGCCTGCTTCTGACAGCTGGGCGGAGCCAGCCGTCATCTTACGGCTGGCTCCGGCTACTTGCAGAGAGATCAGCATCCCTGCTTACCAGGTAACCAGGGACGCTGTCATTACACACTGAGAACCCGGCCGGGCCACTATGATATCACAGCGACCTCTCTGTGTTCTCAGTGTGTAAAGACATCTGTCATTCCTCCTCCGGACGCTCTGGGAGTCTAATAGGCTCCCGGCCGCCTGGGAGAGAAACACTTTCTCCCAGAACGGTTCACTTTGCTCGATCAAACAGAGGAAACCTTTCCCTGCTCGTTTTTTTTCTTTTTCTTCTGACATAGGAGCCGTTGCCTGCCGTCAGAAGAAAAAAAAGAGAAATCACCATAGGAATGCATAGCCAGATTCCTATTGGCTATTTAAATTTGCAATAGCCAATAGCAAACTAGCAAACACCCGCCCACTGCTGCTGTCAATCAGCAGAGGGGGACCTGCAGTTCTCCATCAGGTCCCCCTCTGGTGATTGACAGCAGGAGAGGGCTGGTGCAATAGCTTGTTTGCTATTGGCTATTGCAAAGTGAAATAGCCAATATGAATCTAGCTATGCATTCCTATGGTGTGTTGTTTTGTTTTTTTAAACAGCAGAACCGCCGGACAATAGAAAACAGTTGGGCGAAGCTA